GAAAAGCATGACATGGGACCTTTAAGTACATTTTAAATCAGGATATACTTGATAAAGAAGAAGTAAATGCATCTAAGAAGCAACAGCTTTTAATGTCATTTAGTGTCGCCTGAGTTGAGAGTGAACTTCTCCATGCATATAATAATAATAATAATAATAATACACTTTATTTGTAACAAAGACAGAAAACATAACAACAATATTAAAATAATATTAAAATACAGAACAAGATAAAACATCAACAGTGATCCTAATGAAATTCCCTTGAAGTAAAGCTGACAGTTAACCCAAATTTAAAAGCAAATTAAAAACTTTTTAATATGGCTTTTAAACATTTGAAGGGGGTCTGCTGCTAATCCCGTTGAGTCTCTCGCCGGTCTCTCCCTCTATATCTGCATTAATGTGTTTCCTCTCCATTGTTCCCTCGCAGTACAGAGAACAGGAAGCCATCCGCCTTTGCCTGAAGCATTTCCGACAGCATAACTACACCGAGGCCTTTGAGTCGCTGCAGAAGAAGACCCGGATAGCGCTGGAGCATCCGATGCTAACTCACCTGCACGACCGCCTGGTGCTGCAGGGAGACTTTGACGCTTGTGAGGAGCTCATCGACAAAGCTGTGGGAGGTAACACCTGATGGATCGAGAGTAAAGATTACTTTTTTGCGAAATAAAGAAATAACAAGACAATTTTACTCAAATAAAACTGCCGCTTGGGCATCAGTAAGCAAGGCAACAATATCTTCTGTGCATTTATTTCATTGTATCCCAAAAATACAATACATAAAGAACAATGGATTCACCTCTCGCCTTTCCTGTGTTTCCGCATAATCACCAGGTGCCCTAAACTGCCTTCTAAATAAGCATTAAGAATGACTTCAACTCAAATTATAACGATAACTATTGAGTAATTAAATATAAACAAAGAACAGCAAGAAAATAAATTACTAAATAACATAAATCTTTGTATGGCACAAATAATTCATTTTTCCGCCGCCTTAGGTCTTTCAGGGCGAGTAGACAAATTCTTCTCCTGTTTTTTACATCTGTGATTCTGACTGTTCTACAGTTTTGCAATATTACATGGTACACGTGTTCGTCTACTGCTTTAAAATCAAAAAGTCCACCAGTTGAAAATCTCAAGCTAAAAGATTGCAGTTCAGCCCTTTTTGAGAAGCAGAATCAGCCTAACATAATACAATAAGGCGCTTTCACACCGGAGTACTTTTCCCAGTAGTTCCGATATGGTGCCGAAAATGTGCGTTCACACCAAAGAAATCGGAACTAGAAATTAGTTCATGAGAACCTTTCCACCCCCTTTTCAGTCCTGCTAGAGAGCAGGTACTTTCATGGGAGAAAAAGGTTCCCATTTCTGATTGGCTGGGCGGATTGCAAACCACGCCCCGTAAAACTCCCAAAAAGTTTTGTGAAGCCGCCATTTTATTTGCTCGCATTAGCATTATTAGCATTAGCATTAGCCCAGCGCACAAACGAGAGAGACTAACTTATGGCAACACAAAAGAAAACATGGAGCGGTGGAGATGAGGAGGTGTCGGTGTTCTGGCGAGTTACTCTGAAGGCTTCAGTAGAAGCTGCTGGGAGCCCAGCAGCTTCTACTGAAGCCAGTCCCCAACTCCGGGGACTTCCGGCCGGGGACTTCAGGTGGCAGTATACGCCGTGAAGTTGTTTGTGGCCTGCCAGTAAACCCAAAGCAGAAGAAGAAGAAAGTGACGTCAGCGGCTTCATTTGCCTAATCCTCCCTCAGGGACTTATTCCGGTGTGAACGCGATCTGCTCTTTAGTTCATCAGAACTAAAGAGTTCTGATGAACTAAGTACGGCAAAGTAATTAGACTGAAGCCCTCCTTTGTGCACCAGTCAATCCTCAAATTAAACACAGAGTTAAATCCCAGGTCAGATGTACGTTAGAGGGTCTTGAGCATGTTTTCTCTTCAGTGATTATATTAAATGTTCTTGTATCGTGTCTTGATATCTGTCCTTGTTTGATGTTGCAAATGGAGCTGCTGTGAAACATTTCAGACTTGACCTCACAATAAAATATCATCGTATCAGTTTCTGCTTGCATTAACTTTACATTTTGCTTTATTTGATTCTCTTTTTCTCCTTTTTCTAGACGGGCTGTTTAACCAGTACATCAGCCAGCAGGAGTACAAGCCCCGGTGGAGTCAGATCATCCCCAAATGTAACAAAGGTACCCAAGAAATCACCCGAGACGACATGACGAGTGAGACCATCTACTCAAGTGGGGAAATATCCCAATCACATTTCAGCATGTGACGTCTCAGTGGCCTTGTAGCTAAAACTCCCTCCTGTCCTCTGCTCACTCCACCTCTTCTACATTATCATTCTTCCTCATGCTCCACCTCCTCCTTCCTCTTCTCTCTGCAGGTGACGGAGACGACAACAGGCCCGGGATGAGGGGAGGACATCAAATGGTCATCGACGTCCAGACTGGTGAGACCCATGGATGTTTAATAAGAACTGGATACAGCGTGGGAGGCGGGGTCTCGTTCTTTCCTTTGAGAGCTGCTCATTGGCGCATGAGGACAAAATGGCCTGATATTTTTGAGAGTGAAACGTCACAGATTACCCATCATGCCTGGCTGTCAGAGCAGAAGTACCCGTATGTGCGCTCACAGAGCATGCGCCCCTTAAGCCCCGCCCCCCGAGCTCCCACTCTCGGCTCAGTAGAATGAATGGAGAGAGAAAATAAATCAGAATTCGGCTTTTAGCGCATTTTACAACTTTAAGGACCTAATGATTCTAATAAGGGCTATAAGATAGTTCATACTGGGTAGTTTATTTAGTTTAAAAAACAATTATCCGCTGATTTACAGACATCTCTTTCCCCATGTAAGTCAATGGGGATAAACTCTTTCTGGGCCCAGTGACGTCACGGGCTGATACGGAAATTGTAGTACGGCCGTTTGGACTCAACGAATATTTTCCTCAGAGTCCAGAGCACTTCCTGGGGGCTTGGGTGAGACCCAGGCAGCCATTGTTATGACTCGGCTTTTTAACCGAAGCTCTCTGACTCATATCCTCCTACGCACACTCAGAAGCTCTATCACTGTTTAATCAAATCAAGCACCCTCCCTGACCTTCAGCCCTTCTCTAAAAGGAAAAAGTCCTGAAGTAATCTCCTTTTTAAGAGCTCATAAAGACACTCTTTTGGACTGAGACACACTTGTTTTTGTATCTGCTTCCTTTTTAAGAGCTCGTAAAGACTCTCTTTTGGACTGAGACACACTTTTGTTTTTAGTATCAGCCGATGTTGTACTTTCCGTACTTTCCTGCTGGCGATCTAAAAACAAAAGCCTGCATTGTGAGAGAGATGTTTGCAACGTCAGAGCTGAAAGAAGTTATTTCATCCCTCTGCTCAGTCGAAGACTTACACAGTGACTTCTGTGTTTTGGATTTAGCAGTTTGTTTTGTAGGGAATGTAGTAGTATATCATAGTAAATCAAATATTTTGTTACACCACGTTGTCTTATACATCCTTGTCACAGTTCCTATATGTGTTAGATCGATGTTGATTTGACTTGATCTAGAATCAATTGCTTTTCCTTGAGTTCCCGAATGTGTAAACAACTTGAATATTTATATTGATTTATTTTATTAGTTATGATTCCGAATTGACTAATAAGGCCAACAAATTCACATAAATAATATCAACGCATAATTATTTGTTGCTAGAAATTTAATGGCTTTTTTTATTATTTCAAAATCAGAAGGAGCAGATGGATAGATTGATCGATAGATAGATAGATAGATAGATGGATGGATAGATGGATAGATAGATAGATAGATAGAACGATAGGTAGATAGATAGATAGATAAATAGATGGATAGATGGATAGATAGATGGATAGATAGATAGATGGATAGAACGATAGGTAGATAGGTAGATAGATAGATAGATAAATAGATAGATAGAACGATAGGTAGATAGATAGATAGATAGATAGATAGAACGATAGATAGATAGATAAATAGATGGATAGATGGATAGATAGAACGATAGATAGGTAGATAGATAGATGGATAGAAGGATAGATGGGTAGATAGATGGATAGATAGGTAGATAGATAGATGGATAGAAGGATAGATGGGTAGATAGATGGATAGATAGATGGATAGATAGATAGATAGATAGATAGATAGGTAGATGGATGGATAGATAGCTGGGTAGATAGATGGATAGATAGATGGGTAGATAGATTAGTACTTTATTGATCCCAATTTGGGAAATTTGCGTTGCAGCAACCTAAAAAACAAGGCAATGTACATAAGAGAAATTAAGACAAGAAATAAACAGTCCAAAATATTTCTGAAATAAAATAGCATTTAAAGGTGGGGTAGGTAAGTTTGAGAAACCAGCTTGAGATCGCTAGAATTTGAAAATACACAACCGGAGAAAATCTGCCACTTCCTCACAGAGCCCCTCCTCCAACACACACGAACGCGCACATGACCAATGAGGGCACGAGATAATTTTGTGCACAGATGGAAGGCTGACAGGCAGGTAGGCCATCCAGTTATTTTAGCCGGCCCGGCTAAAATGATTGGTCGTGCTTTTTACAGTACTACGGCTTCCACAGATGAAATGTTTTTATGGATTTTTTGTCAAAGCACTTAAGATATTCATTGCTATCGGGATGTTAAGAGCATTCCATGGAATATAACAAAAAGTGTATCTCGAGCCGGTTTCTCAAACTTACCTACCCTACCTTTAAGAAAAAAAAAAAAAATTGATGGATTGACTTCCATACAGGCAGTGCTATGTTTTCTAAAGCAGAATGAAATGATGAAGAGTTGGGTTCATGTTTTGTCTACGTTCTTACTTGTCTGTTTCCCTCAGAAACCGTTTACCTGTTTGGAGGCTGGGACGGCACTCAGGACCTCGCTGACTTCTGGGCGTACAGCGTTCAGGAGAACCAGTGGGTCTGCATCTCCAGAGATACGAGAAGGAGGTGAGAGGGAACACTTTGTCAAATCTCAGATGAGGAAAGAAACTAATGAATATTTAATACTTTGAAAGAATTGTTTCAACAAATATTAGTCTCCTCTTTAAACATCTCAACTGCTCATGAATACACTTTAAGACACATATTAAAACATTTTAAAACAGCAGCTCTGCATGTGTTGTCTCCTGTGAACCAATCAGAGTGGTCCGAGTGCTCGCTCGTGCCACAAGATGTGCATCGACTCGCAGCGGCGTCAGATCTACACTCTGGGCCGCTACCTGGACTCCAGCGTGAGGAACAGCAAGTCTCTGAAGAGCGACTTCTACCGCTACGACATCGACGCCAACACCTGGACGCTGCTCAGCGAGGACACGTCCGCTGATGGAGGGCCCAAGCTGGTGTTTGACCACCAGGTACGACACAACAAATATGCCTTACAGCTCTTTTTAATTCATTTAAATATCTGTTTGAAGACATTTCACTGCACAGGGAGTCTACAAAGGAGGTGTGAGCAGCAGCCTTGTCTGTCAACAATCAATAGATACAAAATAATAGTCACTTCAATATCTTTGAGAATATACATTAGTGCAAGACTGTCCATAGCAGCGTAAAAAAACACTCCAACACCGCGCCGCCATCTTGATTCTTTAATTGAACATACTGCAACATTTCATACAAGACATAGCTCTCCATTAATCCCCATTAACTCTGGGCTTTCTTCAGATTTTCTTTTTGATGTAAAGGTTGAAGGACTTGCAGTCTTCTCACACTTCCTGTTTCCCCTTCCTGCAGATGTGCATGGACTCGGAGAAGCACATGATTTACACGTTTGGCGGTCGCATCCTGACGTGTAACGGCAGCGTCGAGGACAGCCGCACGTCGGAGCCTCAGTTCAGCGGCTTGTACGCGTACCACTGCCAGGCCGCCACGTGGAGCCTCCTGAGGGAAGACTCGTGTAACGCCGGGCCGGAGGACGTCCAGTCCCGCATCGGACACTGCATGCTCTTCCACACCGTGAGTCACACCTGTCGTAGACACACTTTCGTCTCAGCACGACACTTTATTTCAGCACACCGCCATCTTCGGATAACGCATACAACACGTAACTCCCACGTTACACTTGACAACATCCGGTAACACTTCCGGTTCTTCACAAATAAAACTCCAAGTGAACACATTAAACATAAGCAGAAATAGTACATGTGAGTTAACACCTGTCTCGTTACACTGTTGTTTTCCATTTCTGTGAGAATAACCTGGCCTTTTAGTCAAAGCCAACTTTATTGTCAATCTTTACATGCATAAAAACCTTCATAACACACAAGGGGACGGGTAATAACCAGAAAAGCATGACTTCTTTTAAAAGAAGATATCACAGTAAAAAGTTGTGCATTTGTATGAACACGTTACATCTATTTACATAAGTGTGCAGATGAGAGTGCAGAGTTATTTTTGTTCCCTGATCATCTTCCCCTTTTCCAACAGAGAAACCGCTGTCTGTACGTGTTTGGAGGTCAGAGGTCAAAGACGTACCTCAACGACTTCTTCAGCTACGATGTGGACGGAGACCACGTAGAGATCATATCTGACGGCACCAAGAAAGACTCGGGCATGGGGTAAGAAAGAACAACATATATCTTTTATACACTAATAGTCCGCTCCTTAAACACACGCTTGGTCCTATTTATCTGAAAAAACCCAGAGGTGAAGGTTTGTGGCTCGCAAAAAGGTTCATTATTAGACCAACTTTAAAAGACCACCTCCAGCGAAGACCAGTCTATACTTATATATATTTGCATCAGTATATTTGCATCAGTATAGCAACATTTTTTAACAGCAAACATGGTGGAGTTACAGTTTTGTTTAATGTTAACTGGACCATGGCGCTTCCTTTTGATATCTACCAAAAAAATCCCACCTGATATTATTGTATGTTTCACAACCAGCTACAAACAGAGGTAAACAATTTTTTATGTTTTTATAGCCCAATTTTCTGAGTTTTTAAAACACTTTTTTAATGTGAGGGAACCCATGTTTGACACACTGTTCTCATACATTTCCCAAATACTCATAATTTTTGTTATTTATTTTCTCCTGTACTTTTTTTGGCTTATTTCAGGCTCTCCTCTAACTCATTTTATTGACTAGCTGCCCTGTATCCTCTAGGGATGCCAGCGATTTTTCGAATATTCGTTACAGTCTCCATAATCGAAAATTAGTTTTAAAATTCGATTTTATTTATATATATTTTTGTATTATATTTATGTTTTTCTTTGTTTTTCCTGGCTTAGTTTCAAACCAAAATATAGACTAATGCTAATAATAGTATAGTATTAATAATTGTAAATGGCCATTGGGCAAGAGTGCAGACTGCTGCTGCAGCTGCTACACACCGACCCCGCCCCCCCCCCCCCCTACTCCGTTAGGGTTAGGGTTAGGGTGGCGAATAATCGATTAATAGTCGCCAGGGCTGTCCGATTTTCGAATTTGATCATGGTCAGTTTCTGGCATCCCTAGTACTCCGCATGAGTATTGTTGAACTAACCTGTGTCTCCATCAGACTAAATTAAAAATGACAGTCCTGGTATTCCTGCTGCTGTGTTCAGAGTCTAATAAACTCCACGTCAGAGAAGATACGACCAGGTCAGACACTTCCTCTCCCGATAGAAAAATCGACTGAGATCTGAAATCCACCTTCAACAACGCAGTAATAAATAGCCTCTGATCTCCCAGAGCCAGACAGAGAGAGAAATAGACTCATTCAAAATGTGCTCGACAGGTGAAAGAAAAGCAAGAAGGAACAGAATGTGTCTTGGCAGGAAGGACAAACGGTTCCCTCTTTCTCTGCGTCTCATAATAACTCAATGCATGTGATCTGCTGGAGGAGCGAATATTTCATCCCTGAGTTTAACCCTTCGTTGTTTTTGCACCACAGTGCCGATGACGGGCTTCACGCAGAGAGCCACCATCGACCCCGAGCTCAACGAGATCCACGTCCTGTCGGGGCTCAGCAAGGACAAAGACAAGCGTGAGGAGAACGTACGCAACTCCTTCTGGATCTACGACATCGCCCGCAACAACTGGTGTGTGTGTGTGTGTGTGTGTGTGTGTGGGTGTTGTGTGTGTGTGTGTGTGTGTGTGTGGTGTGTGTGTTGTGTGTGTGGTGTGTTGTGTGTGTGTGTGTGTGTGTGTGTGTGTGTTGTGTGGTGTGGTGTGTGTGTGTGTGTGTTGTGGGTGTGTGTGTGTGTGTGTTGGGTGTGTGTGTGTGTTGTGTGTGTGTGGGTGTGTGTGTGTGTGTGTGTGTGTGTGTGTGTGTGTGTGTGTGTGTGTGTGGTGTGTGTGTGTGTGTGTGTGTGTGTGTGTGTGTGGGTTTCGAGGGAACAGGTGTAATGCTGTAGCTCTTTTGTTCCGGTACATTGATTTCAGTAGCTGTACTGAAGTGTGTGAAACAAACTGAATTTGTTTTGTCTTTGGTCACACATGTAGTTCATTTCACACACTCAGTTTCCTCCTCTTCTTTACTTCCGTGTGTGTGTTCAGGTCTTGTGTGTATAAGAACGACCAGGCAGTGAAAGAAAACCCGAGCAAGGCTCTTCAGGAGGAGGAGCCGTGTCCACGCTTTGCACACCAAGCTGGGTCTACGATTGAGATGCACAAGGTAACACACACACAGCTGGGGCTCACCACAGGCTGGGGCTCACACACACACACACACAGCTGGGGCTCACACACTTGAATAGTAACACGCTGATCACTTTGCAAAGGCGATATACAGCTCGGCTTTCAACATCTGTATTTATGATGCATCACGTCGACGTCTCCTCTTGAGCTGGTTATTCTACATCTGGCTCTACTTCTCATCGGAAGCTGTAACTCTGTGAAATCAACTTCTAAAATGTTTCCCAAAACAACGTCAGAAGATGGAGGTTCTTTTTCTATCAGTGTCTGTTATGACTAATTAATCGTAAGAAAGCTGTGAAGAAATAGAGTCACACTGTTTGGAGAGAATGACAAACCCCATTTGTGTCTTAAATTAGCAGATTTCCAACCTTAAGATCACGAGGAGAGACACAAATTAAACCATGAATGCATAACAGTATTAGTAAAAGATACGAAATGTTGCCAATCCTTGTAATATTTCTTATAAAATGTTAACAAGCAATTAAAGGGTTGACAATCAGGCTGTTTTAAAAAAAATTGTACCTATGTCCAAAAAAAAACACATGAATCGAATTCAACTAAAGACCCCAATAACATGTATCTACGTCTTGTTGTTTTTAGCTTTATATTGGTGTGTATTTTCCTTTTTTATTTTCTCCGTCCAGGTGCACTACTTGTTCGGTGGAAACCCCGGAAGTCTTGTTCTCCCAAGATGCGTCTGGACGACTTTCTGGTCCCTCAAACTGTGTCGGCCCTCCAAGGAATATCTGCTGCGCCACTGCAGATATCTGATCAGGAAATACAGGTGGGGTGCAGCAACTTCATCACATGACTCTCGAGCTGTGGGATTCTTACTGCTTTGTTGCCATCTAGTGGTTAGTGGTTGTAACTGCAGGTCAAGTTTCAAGGCTCTATTGTCATTAGCACATTACAGTGTAGTTATGGCAATGAAAAACTTAGGTCACAGGCTCCTCTAACAGTGCAACATATATATATATATATAGAGCATAGAACAAATAAAACAGATAAAATAGTGCAAGAGAATGTTTGGAGATGTGCAAGTGTAACCGGTCTGGTTTGACGCCACATTTATCTCTGCGTTGTGTTGTGTGTAGGGGTGGGCGATACCACAAAATCTGGATTCGATCCGATACCAAGTATTTCAGGGCCAGTATCGCCGATACCGATACTTTTTCAAATGAAAAGCTTCTTATGTACTTTCATATAGGGGAGAGCTGCATAACATGATTTTTGAGCTGAAAGCATCATAAATAGACTAAATCTGAATTCATTTTCATGATTAAAGACAGGACAGTTTTTATAGACAAATAAACGTTTTACTTTTGCAAATTTAAAGTGCAAACATGAAAAATAACAATACAAAGTGGCCACAGTAGCGAACTGCCTTCGTGCACACATCAAAGTTCGCTAAGTTTTCATGGACAGTTGTGAAATAGCTCCACACAACGCTCCTCTTTCTCTCAGCCATCATGCGCGTGTGTGTGTCGCACTCGCGAGTCGCTGGCTGCTGCTGTCCTGCCCTGCTGGCTGCTTATCAGTCAGCTTGATAATCGGCGTTCAGGCAGGGAGCGTGCTACACGTGCGCGAGCCTCGGGGAGAGGAGGACAGCAGTGGAGAGAGAAGAAAAGAGCGTATATAGGCCTACTTGTGTTCGTCTGCACATAGTTTTTGATGACATTGACGAGTAGAGGAGAGGGGAAAAAAGTATAAAAGTATCGATATTTTGAAACGTAACGTAATATCGGAAGTATCGATATTTTGGGATCGATCCGCCCACCCCTAGTTGTGTGATCAAATAAAACGACTTCTTTCTTGCCAGCCAGGATGAATATAATTACAGCAGGAAATAGGTTCACCAGCTTTCTACATTGATACCTTCAGTGGAAGAAAACAGAGATTGGGAAACTACATAAAAAAACCACCCACATGCTCCGTTAGCATATCTAAACTTTAGAAAGCCCACGAACACCGTCTGATGCCCTGCACATTATATAAACTACATTTACACACAGCAGATATATAGGTATTAACTGCAAACATGTATGACTTGAACAAAGTACAACATGAACCTATATTAAACAATCTATTAACATATTGAATACAACATTTATGACATCACTCGTTTCACCTACCTCTCCTCAGCGAGGCCTGAAGCCGAGGAAAGTAGCGCGAGTCTGCAGAAAGTGCCGGTGCCAAGAGTACCATTATGTAACAAAATGATTTTGGTGAAATATAAGCAAGTCAAGTTATACAAGTAAATACAAACAAGATGGAAATGGTGCAAGAAGAGTCTAGTAAATGGAATGATATATTAGATAAATAATTTACAATCAGATGAATGTTTATGGATGTTTACCATTGGTGTGTTTTCATTGGTCAGGTTTGAGGAGAAAGCCCAATCGGAGCCCCTGAACGCGCTGAAATACCTGCAGAACGACCTCTCGCTCACCGTGGATCACACTGCCCGTCGAGACCAAAGAGTATGGTACTGGGTTAGCATTAAAGACTGCTTTAGTGTTATTTCAATATTCGTTTTTGGCGGTTACAGTCCCTGCTAATACTGAATGTGTTTCGCGCTTCAGTTCCAGCTCCTGCCCTCGGCTCTCTTCAAGTCCAGCTCTGATTTCATCCCACTGGGTAAGTGTTCATTAAAAACACCACGTGTGAGTCCACAAAGGACGTCTAGACCAGTTTTATCCAGGATTTTCTGGATAAGTACATTTATCTGTACTGCTAAGCCTTATATTGGCTACCTAGCTTACTTCGTGTTCTTCATCAGCCAGCATCCTTGGTATCTGTTGTTCACTGAGTTGATTCTCGCTAAGTAGCCAATATAAGACTTGGCAGTACAGATAAATGTGGGCTCACTATTTGGCAAGATGGCTAAGCCTTATATTGGCTACTTAGCGAGAATCAACTCGGTGAACAACAGATACCAAGGATGCTGGCTGATGAAGAACACGAAGTAAGCTAAGTAGCTTAGTCATCTTGCCAAATAGTGAGCCCACATTTATCTGTACTGCTAAGCCTTATATTGGCTACCTAGCTTACTTCGTCTTCATCAGCCAGCATCCTTGGTATCTGTTGCTCACTGAGTTGATTCCCCCCCCCCATCCATCTTGATGTTTCTTGGCTTCTCTTATGACCATTCATTTACAAGTTACTAACTTTTATAGTTGCCAAAGGGGAGCGTTATTGTGAAGTGTAAGACACATCACCATTTATTAATGAGTTACTACCATTTCTAATAAGACTTAGCAGTACAGACACATGTGGGCTCACTATTTGGCAAGAGAACTAAGCCTTATATTGGCTACTTAGCGAGAATCAACTCAGTGAACAACAGACACCAAGGATGCTGGCTGATGAAGAAGACGAAGTAAGCTAGGTAGCCAATATAAGGCTTAGCAGTACAGATAAATGTGGGCTCACTATTTGGCAAGCGACCGGTCACAGTTGCCCTGTTATCTCAATGTCTTATAAAAGCTTATTAATGATTTATAAAGTGTTCACAATTACAAACTATTCGTAAACCCTTTATAAGGGTAGTCTTATTGTAAAATAATTCTTAACGTCTCTCCTCTCTCTCAGGTTTCTCAGACGTGGACCAGACGTACGCTCAGAGGACAACAGCTCTTCGACACGCCTCGTCAACTTCTTCCCCGACAGCATGACTCCTCCCAAGGGCAACCTGGTGGACCTCATCACGCTCTACAAATAACCCCTAATACCACCTCGCCCACCCACCGGAGGAGGAGGCAGAGACCACTTATTTTTCTATTCCTGAACCTTCCTGTGGGATTTAACCATCATCATCATCAGCATCATCACCATCACTGAGCTGCTGTCAGTCCTGCGCCCCCTGCTGGTGAGCCTCGAGAACACCACTTTTACAAACACTGTGGTGTGAGGGAAACTCACAGAACTCACTGAGGTGTGTGTGTGTCTCTAAACGCACGATATCCCACCATAACCTTTTTTTTTTTGCTGGTTTCTTTGGAGCACGCAAAATCTTTCCCACCTCAGAAACTTAATGGCCAAAAAGGAGAATTTGCACGCATTTGTTTTCAATCTTTTTATGGTATTTTTTTTTCAATAACTTTTGTGCTGTGTCCACATATTTGGAGATGATGTGTTCAGGGTCGATTCTCAGTTCAACTCCACTGGTTGTTAATTGATTTGAAGGCAGAAGTGTGTGTGCCCGTGAAACAGGAAGTGGCTTCCCAACTCTTCTGTCCTTTCGGTCACATTCAGCATCTCCCCGCCAAACCTTCATTTGGATTATCTGCTAAGCTTTGCTTTTTCTGCAACATATGCCCCCTATTTGTGATCGTGTCAGCCATGCAGAGGCTAAAAAAAACAATTGAATAGTGTTGTAGTTACAATAGAGGAATGATTCTAGAGGATTGAATTTAATATATATCTAAATATACCTTTTTTTATATTGCTTTCGGTTGTTATCCCTGTCAAATTGGTTGGTAAATGTGCATATATACTACAGAGGACTCGAGGTAAAGTAACATTTATTTTCCTCAGTAGTTAATGGACTTCATTCTAAGGGTGTACAGGATATGTAAATATACATATTGAAGATTTCTGGCATTGGACGCATCTTGTGCTGGATTTTTTAATTGTGTCTATTTACCAAAAAAGTCAGGGTCCACAAACGATACTCATTTCACTTATTGGGAGGTATTAAAGCAGCCGGTGTGCGTTTGTAAATGAAGTGCTGGTGCCAGTTTGAGAGTGGAAAGGGCATTTTGAGTTATTTAAAAAAAAAAAAAAAAAACTTCTCCAGTGTGATGACATTGTGGGTTTAATTTTCCTTTTATCCCCCACTGAATTGGGTAAACAGATGTTTTCCCTCCGTTTAATGATGCATTTAAAACTCTACTGGGTCAACTTGTCCCATCAAGTGAACTTATAAGTCCCATTTAATACAGTTATTTAACTTTGTTATGCACTTGTTGAAGCTGAAGGAGCATACTGGGTGTCTTGCAGGTGAAATTTAAGTTTGAGAAAGTAAGGTTAAAGTGAGCCTATGTGATAATGGGAAGAACTGAAATATCCAACTACAGTGAAGGTAACATTAGCCACCCGTTAGCTTCTGGTCGTTCCGGACAAATGTGACATTATATTCTGCTGCTTCGTGGAAATCAGGGGGTTGGAAAACAGAACATTTGCTTGCTTACAGAGAAGATCAAGACTACTCTTTTTCATGTATGCTAAGTGTGAGGCTACCACTAGCTGTTAGCTTAGCATAACAACTGGAAACCATTAGCCTGGCTCAGTCCAAGGCAATCTAAAGATCACTTATTAACACAGTGACAACAAGACTCTAGGTAACTGAACTTGATCGTCATATAACTAAAGAAAACTTTTTATAACACCACACCTTATGATCTTTTACATAATGTGGTTAATTATTGAGCTTTGGAGTGCGACATCAGTGGCTATTTTTACTTTTGGTAGTCTCAATCTTCTCAACCTGATCCCTCGGCAATTTCCTAACATTATTCCAACTATTCCTTTAAGAGCACATGACTAGTAGCTAAAGTGTTTAAAATGACAGCTCAAAAAAATAGTGCTATGGTCCTCTTTAAGAGTCAGACATGAGCTCAACATTGCCTACAAAAATACCTGAATAGGATTTTTTGCAGCTTCCAATTCATAATATTCATATTGAAACTTTAAACAAAACACTTGGACTGTAGTAGACATTTTTGACATCTAAATCATCCTGCTGGTGTGTTCACTGACACTGGAGATAAGTCGTTATTTCAGACATCATCAGGGAGGTGTCCTGCTACTCAGACACATCTCATTTGATTCTCTAAATGAATCATGAGGACAGTTAACCCTGTAACGATGGAGCACGATGGAGACGTGGCTTGAATAATACTCCTAACATTTGGGAGGGTTTTTGCGTTCATTTTTTGTTGGAGGAGGATGTCATGTGAGTTGCTGCTGCCCTGAAACACACTCGATGGAAACAGATTGGTGAAAAGGACACCAGAGAAAAGCATAAGTTGTATTAGAACATTCAAATGCTAATTATTTAAGATATGACAACATTTAGGGCTCATCACGCTTCACTTTGTGACGTTAAAAAGAAGAATTAAAAGCACCTTTTTGTTAGAAAAAAACCACAATGCCAATAATACTTGCTAATTTAGAGTAATATCTTCCACACAACAATGTTTGACGGATGAAATGTTGTTTTAATTTGATTTTTCTTTCCGTTTTGCCCGTCTCCTCGACCCCTGGGTGGGAGTTTTAAGGCTGGTACACTCAGATCAGTGAATGTGTAGAAAAACCTTGTAGTATTGCATTGTATGTACTGTATATAAGGAATAAAGATTGTATTTTGTCAGGTTTTCTTAAATCCCATCTCTCCAGTGTGGGTTTTCTGCCGCCCTAGTGGTCATCTGTGAGTATTACTGTCAACAAAAATGAAAGTAAAATACCGAATCGAGTGGAAAAAATATGCTTTTATTTGCAAATCTGAACGGGTAAAACAACATGACAATTTACATTTTCCAGTGTGTCAGACCCCTGCTGTTCGCCTTCAGCAGCAAACAAATCATAAATACATACAAATACTGGTAACATACTTTGGTGAAAATATCACAGCTATAATAAACGTGAAACGGCAGACAGACAGACAAACAAACAGTGGATTGGAGTGCCCAAAGGTGATTCACTTGTATATAAGTACACACATATATATTAACTTCTTAATGGGTTTAAGAGAAAGTAAATTATTAAACTGAACATAATCCAAAAGGAAACGTGCCCAGGTTCTGCTGTGAGGGATTTTAGATCGTCTTCAAATGTCACATGACCCTCCAGCAGCAGCAATAGTGGAAGAAACAGAAATATTTACAGTGTTCACATCAGAGGTGGTTATTAATAAACAAAATCGGTATCCGGAACAGTATTTTCCAACTGATAATATTTATTTTTGATTGTAGAGTTGGCATTTTAGTGATATTTCTATGCTGTCAAAGTAATTTACACACTCTGGTCTTACAAAGAAATGGCAATTCTCAGCTTGACTGGGAGAATTGTTGCTAGTTATTGAAGAAAATACTGTGTTTTCTACGTAGTAAAAGGGTAAATTCACATCACTATTGTCAAAAATAACCACTTTTGGATAATGCAGTGTGTGGAAGATCGTCACAAAGTACAAAATAATTACATTTCCCTTCATTTCCCAAGATTCTCTACCTGACTAAATGAGACTAAAAACCTACCGGTGAAGTACAAAGTGTTTTACTTCCTGTTTACTAATACAACTATTTAAATGTTAGCTAGCCACCGTACGCCACTGGTCGTGTAGCAAAAACCCTGAATAATAAAGGTATGTTTTATTGCTTATGAAGTTTTGAAAGCAGGAAAAACTACAACTCCTGAAATGTATTAACCAGAAATGTTCAGTAATATGTCACTTTATTTTATTTTGAATGCAAGAAAGCAAAGCTCACTATAAACGCGATAAATTGATTTTCCTGTTAGATATTCTGAGCGATATCCTGCATTGAAAAGCAAGAGCGGACTAAAGTGGATACCTATTTTCATATGAAAGTTAAAGGCTTTTCATTGATTGTAATCACGTGAAACAACTTTAAAGGGGACCTATCATGCAAAATGCACTTTTGTACGTCTTTTATACATGAATATGTGTCCCCGGTGTTCCATGGAACTCACCAAGTGTCAGAAAACACAACCCTCTCTATTTTCCTCCATACCCAAATCTCTAAAAAAGGGGCTGCAACGGATCTGATGATAACTGATCCAGATTTGAACACTGTCCTGACGTCAGGACGGTGGCGCTAAACTGCTATTGGGCCAACTCCACCAATCAGGGAGTAGACAGCCACGGCCATTGCCGTTCGAAAGCGCTGGAGACGTTGTAGTACATATGCCAGGCCTGTAGGTGGTGCTGTTGCTCACAGAATCAACCCTTGCTAAAACAGATCTAAAAAAATGTCAAATTGAGCAAAATGAGGCATGGCTAAAATGCATGATCTGTTTGGTATTTTGAAAAAAAATATGCCTTATATAGGTATGGTCCTACACTATATTATTCAAATATAGCATGATAGGTCCACTTTAAAAGTCAGGGTTGTGGGGGAAACTTGGGACACTGATCACAGTTGTTGTCACTTATTGGCTCGGGGGGTCATCTACACCCCGAGAAGGATGTGTCCCACAACCATAACTATCTCCGACAGAGAGTTGCCCGGTCATCACTGGCAACATCAATGCTAGGGCAGCCCCTCCTATGGAAGATACCGGCTGCTCAAGCTGGTCAGCTGCGTCAGAGGGGCGAAGGAGGGACATGCAGGGCAAATTATTCCCCACAAGGGTCACATATCACGGAAAAAAATACACTAACCTTATGTGCCATTTTGGATAAAACCCTCAATTTGTCTTATTTCTTCTATAAACCCTATAAGTAGTGTCCTTTAGACATCTGTCTTTATGATTGTGCACCAGTGCCAAACACATAAGTGGAATTTACCAGGATGCTTGCAGTATCCTGAAGTCATCTATATCTAAGTTGGTAGTATCTCGAGATGAACTTAAGCATCTCCTTGACTCTTATTCCCTCTCAAAATAACATTAAAACACTTTATTTACAGTGGCATGTGTACGAAAGCACACTCCTCTTGTAGTTTGGAGCTTTTTCTGAATGAGTAATGATGTAGAAAGTCACTTATTTATATAAATATCCGGATTAGGCACAACCGTGATTAATTTACTTGATTATTCAAACATAGGTTTTGAAGGCCACTGCGTGCAATTTCAGTCATGCTTGATTTGTATCCTTTTTGTTTGCTCACTACAGTAAAAAAATATATAACAGACGGTCTTCATTACAATTGGGTTGTTCTTCAGTCTTCAGAACAGAAATGTCTTCTCTACAGGGACAGCATTCCCAGGATTTAGGGAAAAGGTCGGCATGGAGCAGGAAGTGTGGATAGTTTTGTTTTTGTTCCTTCGTCTCTACAGGTGAGTGTCCTCCTCGCCGGCGATGTTCAGCATGTTGTCTATGGGGACGATCCAGCTGTCGTTGAACTCTCCGTTCAGCGCCATCTTCTTCTCCTGCATCTCTGGATGAATCTCCATCACATCCAGCGTCGGGTTATCGTGGTATCCGTTCTCCACCGTGTGCAACTCCTCCGTCAGGTGCTGCTGTAAAGATCAAAGAGGAAGAAGTCTTAAAAAAAAAAAGCTGTGTATAATTACTTTAAATAAGTGTAAAGTCCATGTATTGACATTTCTACCTTTGAGAGCTACACTTTATTTTATTTTAATGAAAAAACCTGCTTTTTAATGGAGAATTTTGTTGAGAAGTATGTAAAAGTAACAGATTAAAATGTTATCAGCTGATTGAATGAGCGGTGTATCAGTCTTTTAGACACAGGTTTAAAGGGGCATCTTATGGCTACTATTAGGTTCAGAAGGCCGTTAATATCTATTCACATGGTTGATCAGAAATACAAGAAGACAACATTGACCTCTTATGGACATAGTAATCATGATGGTGGCACTGGAGGGAAATTATGTGCAGTGGTATTTAAAGTCCATATAGGGAGAAGGTGATTGGGCACTTTTGGGTCGAACAGACATACACCTGTTAATGTCCTGTTTGAAACCAAAACTAAAAGCATCGAGGTATTTTACATTACTGATCTTGCATACGAAAATTATATACCGTCCCCATCCATAATCTTTTCCTAAACCCCAAAGTGTTTGCGTAGTTTCCATTCACAACGTTAAACATGCATCTAAAATTGTGAGTGTTTCACTTTTCAAATATGTGGTTAGTGGCTGTTTTTTCCATTTGGCTCCATCTTGAGCATCAGATTTGTATTGTTTACAACTGATAATGGGTTGATAATAATAACTCATGGTATGGGTGAGTGTGCAGTTGGCTCCACCTTTTCTAACATGTTTAGTGAGTCTACTCATGATGTGACCTCAGCATGGATAAACAAAATATATAATAGGGGCTTTCACACCGGAGTACTTTTCCCAGTATGTTCCGATATAGTTCCGAAAATGTGCGTTCACGCCAAAAAAAAAATCCGGAACTAGAACTTAGTTCATGAGAACCTTTCCACCCCCTATTTAGTCCCTGCTAGAGAGCAGGTACTTTCATGGGAGAAAAAGGTTCCCATTTCTGATTGGCTGGGCGGATTGCAAACCACGCCCCGGAAAATTCCCAAAAGGTTTTGTGAAGCCGCCATTTTATTATCCTTGCATTAGCATTATTAGCATTAGCCCAGCGCACAAACGCAGAGAGACTAACTTATGGCAACACAAAAGAAAACATGGGAGCGGTGGAGATGAGGTGTCGGCGTTCTGGCGATTTACTCGGAAGGCTTCAGTAGAAGCTGCTGGGAGTCCTAATGTAGGGACCAACAACTGGATAGTAAAGAGGAACATTTTTGTTTTACCTCCAGAAGGCAGGCAGGAGTTTTTGTGCCTCTGAAGGGTCATCCCCAAAATAAAAAATAGTAAAAAAGTCTCTCTTCTATATGTAGCACTTAGAAAGGTTTGCCTTAAAATGCAGAAGCAAAAAATGTGGTTTGGCTTGTAGATAGCCAATAGCCGCTTTCACACCAAGTACTTTGCCGTACTTAGTGCCTAGCACTTAGTGCCAGCACTTAGTACCCCCATGGAACTAAGTACAGATCGCGTTCACACCGGAATAAGTTCCCTGAGGGAAGATTACGCAAATGAAGCCGTTGGCGTCACTTCTTCTTCTGTTTTGGGTTTACTGGCAGGCCGCAAACCACTTCACGGCGTATACTGCCACCCGAAGTCTCCGGCCGGAAGTCCCCGGAGTGGCTTCAGTAGAAGCTGCTGGGACTCCCGAGTAAATCGCCAGAACGCCGACACCTCCCTCATCTCCACCGCTCCCATGTTTTTTTTTGTGTTGCCATAAGTTATTCTTTCCCCGTTCGTGCGCTGGGCGAATGCTAATGCTAATAATGCTAATGCCAGCAAATACAATGGCGGCTTCACAAAACTTTTCAGAGTTTTACGGGGCGTGGTTTGAAATTCGCCCAGCCAATCAGAAATTGGTACTTTTTTCTCCCCAGGATAGTCCCACCTCTCTAGCAGGCACTAGAAATGGGGGTAAAAGTTCTCGGAACTAAGTTCTCTTTTGGTGTGAACGCAAAATTCCAGGCACTAACGGAACTAAACGGGAAAAATACGGGTAAAAGTACTCCGTTGTGAACGCGCCTAATGTACCTGCAGGATTCTGGCTTTTTAGTTTGTTTCTTAATGGTTGAATGCACTTTTTTTGAGTCTCATTGAATAAAAATATCTGCTATATGTTATTGAATGTAATGAAACTTGCTCCACCTACCTGGTTCTCGTTGTACGGCTTGCGATGGTTGTGACGCACAAACAGGCGAGGATGACGATCATGATGAGCAGAGCTCCACAGGATGCCAGGATGGCTATCAGAGTTTGTTATCTGTTGTGTTTCTGTCTAGTAGAAATACAGATAATTACTTATTTCACAATGATACCACTTTGACCACTCGTCCTGCAATTATCAGCAAAATATGAACCCTTACCTTGGTGATCTCTTCATATTACTGGTTTGCAAGTTTGTATCCACTGTAAGACAGCATTTTCAGTATGGATCAGTTTTTTACCATTTAATCTGACCTGACAAATGTGAATTTTCTCATAGGAGGAAGTTGCTTTACCTTTGCCGTATATCTCCACATCGAACAGTAATCTTTTGTTGTTGTGGTACTTCCATGACAGCGTGCAGTTTCCATCTATCAAGTTCACCATCAGCCGCTTGCACACCTCCACCAGTTCTTTTTCCTTGTGTTTCTGAAGGTAAAATTATACATCTGTAAACTTCTCTGTACACAGTCCCATATTTCACTTATTTTCTGAGCTCATAAGTCATCGCTAAGCCTCGGCCATACAGTTTGGGCAGGAAGGTCAAAGGTGACAGTTGAGGTCATATCTTCCTGTGTGGAGTATTTCTGGTGTGTTATGGGACGGCGCAGCTGCATAAGCAGGCAGAGAGAGGGTGAGTATATAAAGAGAGAGGTGTTGGGAACGAAGGAAATCAGTGAAAGGCAGGAAGGGTTCCCACTAAGACCACTTTTTTCCACCCAGTGACTGGAATCTTTTTATTTTTATATCGAGCATCAGTGCTTCCTGTTCTGTCCAGGAGCCTCAGCAGAGGAAATAAACATGTTTCTTTGCACAAAGCTTTGTACATTTTAGTGTTTTAACTTTATTATAATAAGATAAGATTTAGAGAATGGAAACGATGCATTGTGATAAAGCTGCTGGTGTGTTAGCAGGAGGGCAGGGTTATAGAAAGGAGACACATGCTAGTACTCCTTCCACCCTTCTTAATTAAGCTGTATAAAAACATAAAGGTCATTTTTTTACTTTAAATGAACAAAACAAAGAGTCTACATCAGCTCCCTGAGGCTGTTCAATGGGGCTTAAAGCTTAATGCTAACGTTAGCATGCTAAAATGCCCAAGTGAAACTTAGTTTTTCAGTCACCATGTTGTTTGACTGTTAACAATCTTATGAAACAGTATGGCAGTGCAATAATTTCCTTTTTACGATATGAATACATTTCAATACAAATCCATGCAGCAAATAAATGAAAAACACTAAGCCATAGCACCCTAACAAGCTACGTTAGCATGCTAACATGCTCACAATGACGTGTGTGTTCAAACTTCTGGTGTTTACATGGGGTGTTTCTCAATCGCGAGTAAAAGCTGGCTTCAGAGCCACTATTTCAAGCATACTACGTCATCGAGTGCCGCCGAAGTACTGTTCCAATCTCCAGCATACTTGGAATATCTACCGAGCCCGGCGTACTCCGTTTGGAGAATATCGAGGCTGCACATGAGTAGACTCCGCGGTCTTAAATCCCCACAATGCTTTGCGCACGGACCAATTTCCCCAAATTTGTGGCGGAAGATGTAAGGCGGGGCCTCTCATATGACACACACCTGCACACTTGCTAGCGTGTTCCACAATTCGTTTTCCGAATGCCAGGAAGTATTCTTGACTCGCTTCTGAAGCAAGATGCTCGGCAGACATGTGCTACCAAGCAAGCGTACTCGCGATTGAGAAACACCCACGGTCATGTTCGCCAGGGTTAAATTGGGCCGGGGCTGTCCGGGGCTCAGCCCCGGCACATAGGACGATGCTCTGACGTCATCACCCTCGCTCATTTGTCATTTGTTTAAGCCATATGTTAAAACATCTCACGTTCTTAATATAGACTTTACTTAGGGTCGATATGTGTTGACTTTAGCGGTGTGTGTGTGCGCAGAGAGTCTGCAGCGGTGTGTGTGTGTGCGCAGAGAGTCTGCAGTGGTGTGTGTGTGTGTGCGGTGTGTGGCTGGGAGTCTGCAGCGGGTTGTGTGGTGTGGCAGAGAGTCTGCCGTGGGTGGTGTGTGGTCAAAGCGTCTGCAGCGGTGTGTGTGTGCAAGAAGAGTCGGCAGCGGTACCGCCAAACCAAATTGGTGATGATTACATAGCTTACAGTGAGATTTACTCCCATACTTTGGGCCATACTCACGCAGCCCTACAAAGGAATTGAGATTTCCACACAAATGTTCTTTAGCAAGTGTGCAGAGCAGTGTTGATTTAAAAAAGCAATTTGAGGTTGGATATTTGTAACCTTTTTTTTGTGTATATATATTAATAATTTAAGATGTAATAAATTCCAGTTATTTGTAGTACTTTCTATTTGTATTGTGACATTTGGTGGCATCAATGTGTGCATTTGATACAGATAATGGAGCAGTTGCTTTAGGGCCACAGTGTATATCCCTTAAGGTCAAATAATGAGATCCTCGACCTCCGCCCCCCTCTCGCACCTCCACACAGAGCCCCCCCACATATCAAATCCCAATTTAACCCCAGTATGACGGTTAACAATTTTCTCAGACACAGTAAGGCAAGTATATCAGTGCATCATTTAACTGTAATGTTTTCTTACTATAAAGTTTAACACAAGTCAGTACGTATCTGCATTTAATGTAAAAGCCGTCGCACCCTAAAAGGACTTTATGCTACTTTATTCAGAAAGAAAACATGTCTTATTGTTCCTGCAGGATGTCGCAGTATTATTTTTAATCTCTGAAGTGAATGAACACTTTGGGGAGTTAATGTCAGTGAAGAAAGCAGTGGAAAGGGTGTGGGCCTACTCCCATGAACAAGACAATAGCAGAGGCCTGAAGAGAGTCAGAGCAGGAACTGTGTTTATTATCACATGTATTGTTTGCGGGAATAGAAACAGTCTGATGCATGTAACAGATTGAAAACTCAAAATAAAGCTAAATCTACCTCGTGTCCCTTGGTTTAGCGAATACTGTAAGAAAAAGTCAGAAGAATAAGTGCGTCAGTCAATATTTTTGCTTGTAGTTTGTGAATGCGCTCCACCTCAGAATCAGAATCCGTTTTTATTACCAACTCAAGTAGGGTCACACATAGAACTACAAGGAATTTGCCTTGGTGTAAATGGTAAATATTCATGTTCTTTTTAATATTATTATCATTTATAATTGTTAATAACTAGATTTGCTATACAGCGAACGCTAACAATAGACACAGAAAGAAGAATACAATTTATTTTTATTAGAAAGGAGCAACAAATTGTACATTTTTAAGAAACTGAGTACAGTAAAATAAAATATGACAAATACTATATATCTGCTCCACTTTCTTGTAGTATGTCTTACCGAAAACACATTAGCTGGAGCTGCTGCCGTGGTGGTGGTGGTGGAGATGGTGGAGATGGTGGAGGTGGTGGAGATGGTGGAGATGGTGGTTTGCGGGGATGTGGTTGTAGCAATAGTCCCAGTGGTGACTCCTGTAGACAGGATGTTCTCCGTCAGGGTGGAGGAGGCCCTGGTGGTGCCTGTGTTTCCTGCTAGATCTGTGGCCTTTGATGATGATGATGATGATGATGATGATGATGATGATGATGATGATGATGATGATGATGATGATGATGTCCCTTCATGGCTTGTAGTCGTCACTGTAGGTTTACCAGCACCTTCAACCAGGAACAATATGCAACAGTTAACATAATGTCCCTGTTAGAGCCATTTACCTTTCATCATTGTGGTTTGAATGTTTGTCTTATTAATATAAGGCTTTAGAGTAAACTCTTAACTATTTATTTTTGTGAGTCACACTACGCTTTAAAATATGTTAATTTAAGCCTCACTTATTTGCTGTCAAATGTGCGCTGTCAGGTATGACGTGCATGTCTTTATGCAGGGGCGGACTGGGACTACAAATCAGCCCGGGACTCTCGACCGGCCCACTTCGGTGCCGCAAGTAAATACCGCTAGTGAATTGTCAAAGGGGGGGGGGGGGTGGTGCTAGTGACTTCTCCGACCCGGCCCATCGGGATTCGTCCCGATGGCCAGTCCGCCTCTGTCTTTATGCCTATATAGTGCAGGACAATGGAACACAGCTGAGTTTGTGACCAGACGGGAAGCGCTATAGTCTTTTTAGTTTTTACCATATTCTCTTTGTTCTTTTTTGATACGGATAACTTTTAGTTACTTTGAAGCGAAGAAGTTTGTCTTCATGTTTGTATGCCGCCTTGATCAGAGAATAAATCTGATGTGATTCAACGCTACAACGATCTCCGCAAAGTTTGTTTGAAAGCAAAGAGAGGCGCGTCATAACCCACAACCCCGATAAAGGAAAGTGGATATTAAATGTAGATATGGATTAAAACGCCACGACAGTCCCCTTCTGTCAGGTCAGTGTCATCTTGAAACTGACTTGACCTCATACTTTAATTTGGTTCATTTATGTATTTATTTATTCATATATAATACTTGATTTAGGTTAATGAACTGTATATACAGTGCTTTACCAGTTTTCACAATCCCTCAACGTGCTTTTACATAAACAAGTCACCTACTCACACACACATTCATACGGAGGCAGAGGCTGACATATAACCTGCACATGGAGACTAACACACACACACACACTCACAGTTGGGGTTTAGTATCTAAGGACACTTCAACACAACATGTTGACTGCATGGGCTAAGGATCAAACCAACAACCTTTAAAGAGTCCTCTCCTGCTGATGTTCAGGTGTATATCAGTATGTAGTGTCTCTACTTTAAAGAGTCCTCTCCTGCTGATGTTCAGGTGTATATCAGTATGTAGTGTCTCTACTTTAAGAGTCCCTCTCCTGCTGATGTTCAGGTGTATATCAGTATGTAGTGTCTCTACTTTAAAGAGTCCTCTCCTGCTGATGTTCAGGTGTATATCAGTATGTAGTGTCTCTACTTTAAAGAGTCCTCTCCTGCTGATGTTCAGGTGTATATCAGTATGTAGTGTCTCTACTTTAAAGAGTCCTCTCCTGCTGATGTTCAGGTGTATATCAGTATGTAGTGTCTCTACTTTAAAGAGTCCTCTCCTGCTGATGTTCAGGTGTATATCAGTATGTAGTGTCTCTACTTTAAAGAGTCCTCTCCTGCTGATGTTCAGGTGTATATCAGTATGTAGTGTCTATACTTTAAAGAGTCCTCTCCTGCTGATGTTCAGGTGTATATCAGTATGTAGTGTCTCTACTTTAAAGAGTCCTCTCCTGCTGATGTTCAGGTGTATATCAGTATGTAGTGTCTCTACTTTAAAGAGTCCTCTCCTGCTGATGTTCAGGTGTATATCAGTATGTAGTGTCTCTACTTAAAGAGTCCTCTCCTGCTGATGTTCAGGTGTATATCAGTATGTAGTGCCTCTACTTTAAAGAGTCCTCTCCTGATGATGTTCAAGTGTATATCAGTATGTAGTGCCTCTACTTTAAAGAGTCCTCTCCTGCTGATGTTCAGGTGTATATCAGTATGTAGTGTCTCTACTTTAAAGAGTCCTCTCCTGCTGATGTTCAGGTGTATATCAGTATGTAGTGTCTCTACTTTAAAGAGTCCTCTCCTGCTGATGTTCAGGTGTATATCAGTATGTAGTGTCTCTACTTTAAAGAGTCCTCTCCTGCTGATGTTCAGGTGTATATCAGTATGTAGTGCCTCTACTTTAAAGAGTCCTCTCCTGCTGATGTTCAGGTGTATATCAGTATGTAGTGTCTCTACTTTAAAGAGTCCTCTCCTGATGATGTTCAAGTGTATATCAGTATGTAGTGTCTCTACTGGGACATGTCTCCATGCTTTAATGTTCAAAAAGCTCTTTATTTTTCTCATACTGCCTGAGCTGCAGCACCTCTTTTCACCCTCTGTCTGAAACCACCACCGATTGGTTTCAACCGCTTCAACTGCTTAGAGATGTCCCGCCCCTTACCCTATTACATACAATGTGTTGGAGCGCTAGCCAATAGAAGCACAAGTGTTACATAGTAATGTCACTTTGTTCCAGACATTTGGGATTTTAGCCTTTGCACACCATTTACATGCACAAAAACCTATATAACACACTACGGGAATAAGGCGTCGTTAATGTGTCATATTTAGAAGACATATTAAACCAGGTGAATTTTCCAAAAAAGAACAATTAGATGAAATAAAACCCCCTCAGCAAACAGTGCCTCAGCGCTCTTCACGTGCAATGTGTTGGAGCGCTAGCCAATAGAAGCGTGAGTGTTACATATTGAAGTTCAGGAAGTAAACAAAGCACTACAGGAGATTTTCAGGGAAACTTACCGGCTTTGCCGCTGGTGGTGAAGGTGCTCTGAGTCGTGGCCTGCTGCCCCGTCGACGTGGAGTTCGTCGAGACTTTTGCAATCTCGGTTGTCCCCGAGTTTTCGGAAGGAGTAGCAGGAGCTGGAGTCCCGGAGGTTTTACTGGCTTTAGTTACTGCTGAGATGGTGGTCTGTGCTGGGGTGGTGGTCTGTGCTGGGGTGGGGGTCTGTGCTGGGGTGGGGGTCTGTGCTGGGGTGGTGGTCTGTGCTGGGGTGATGGTATTTGCTAGGGTGGGGGTCTGTGCTGGGGTGGTGGTCTGTGCTGGGGTGGTGGTCTGTGCTGGGGTGGTGGTCTGTGCTGGGGTGGTGGTATTTGCTGTGTTAATGGTATTTGCTGCGATGGTGGTGGCTTCCTTCGTCGTAGAGGCCACAGTGGTTGGTGCTGGTGGTTGTGTTGGGGTGGGGGTTGGCTTGTCTGTAGGTTTGAATGTAACAGGCGTCACAATGGCTGCAGTAGTTGGTTTACAGTCGTTGGTGCCTGCGCAGAGGTTGGTGGCTCCAGTTGGGCCACCAACAGTACCGCCCGTCTTACTGGCAGGAGTTGCCACCGTCTTAGATGGTTTAACTGTAGTTGGCTCGGGCGATGTCACAGGAGTTTTCTTTGTCACAGAAGTGGCAGTGCTATTTGAACAGACGCTGTTGAATAGGAAGCCTAAAGGGGAGGAACAAACATGATTGTTAGCGATTGCTGCTAAAATACTGTAGATCAATCTGTGGTGAATATCTGCAGTATTTCTTAAGCTAAACACGACATTGACACGATTTCACATCACAAAGTTGGTATTGATATATTGTTTGATTACACATGCAGCAGACATGGAGCATTAGCATTCATTTAGAAGTATTTGTAATATATTTATAGTAGTTTATAACCTTTTAAATAGATGTAAGAGCTTCGGTTTGTGTAAATCGTGATCATGTTCACACTGTTTTGGCTTTTTATAGGGAACATATTGGCTTGCTTGCGTTTTAACTTGGTTAGATCAACCTTATAAATGTAAGTCCAATATCCTCTCTTTCCAACCAACTCCTATTGCGTTGTCTTTAGCTGCTCCATTTTTCACTATTTTCACCAGCTAGTTTATAACTATTGGAACTGCAGATGGAAACAAACCAAAAGAAAGGCCATGAAACTGAACCAGTAAAGTACACATTGTGAAACCAGAACAATGAGCGGACAAATGCTTTCTGTAGCGCTGAAGAAACTGTCAAATTGGTGTATAATTATCTGTGGGTTCATCACTACAAGCACCCCTTTCATACTTTACACAAATAATATAAAAACACTGATTAGTGCAGATTAAATGTACAATAATGTCCTTTTATGAATCAAATGTCAAGCTGGTGGAGCACTGTAAACTATGTGGAGAACTACTCCTAGATTTCCTGTGGTTCAGCTGTAAGCTTCAGCGCTCTCTCCATATTCTTCTTCTGTTTCTCTATTAATAGTGACGAGGACAGGATGCTGCACACAATAAACTTGGAAGTACCACACCCTCCGATTTGGAGAGTCTCGTAAACAATCCACGCCCGACTCCAGGTTCAGAAAACAATGGCTTCCCCTCCTCTGCATGACCTCCTCCACCCTTCTGCAGAACATCCACAGTGAAGCTGAGCGTCAGCCGGCGACACATGACCTGACACGTAGCCGGTTCAAGTGACAAGGATTAGATATTGTTTTTGTTGGTTTTTTAAAATTTAGTTTTGGATCACATTTCAACTTCAGTGTACATATACATATGTAGTTAAATAGTGAGTGGTCCGTTTGAGACATTTCTTAGTGGTTGCTTTCCTCGCAGCTACACTCAACATCCCAAAGAAGTATTTTGCATTAATTTAGCATTAAAGATGAACAAAGACACGTATTTACACCACATTTAAATATACAAATTAAACTAAAACACAAAAAAACTTGATACCTCCATGCCTGAAACACACATTAATAATAATAATATATAATAATCAGAATGTTACTAGTTTAGGATCACCTATTTAAAGCTGCTTTCTTTGCAATGCGTATCGAGTCAAAATAAATAGCATTAATAGTTTGTGGAGATCTATGCCAAAGAAGAATACAATATTTTGCATACATGTCTTAATATTTCTTACAGATTTGAAGATAAATACATCACAAGTTCTTCAGACTTCACATAAATAAACACTTGAGCCAAAGTTCCCACAGCATGTGAACGCAGCATCCGTGTCAGGAGTTAGTAGATAAGAGTCTGTTCTGGTCAAGTGGATGCTGTCTCTTTAAAACACACCACACACACACACACACACACACACACACACACACACACACACACACACACACACACACACACACACACACACACACACACACACACACACACACACACACCTCTCTCTCTCTTATCGGTCGCAAAGACTGTTACTGAGAGAGAAATCTGTCGAAGCCCTCGGAGGACAGAGGACTCCTCTGATTCAGCCGAGGGTTCAGATCTACAGTACATGATTTCCTCGCTCCTCTGAGGGTTATAATAAGAGTCTGTCACCTCCTAAACTGCATGGCACTGAAGTGATTAACACTCACACAGGAGGAAAAGACCCTGAACCTGTTCTGTTTGTAAGGGAACACAACTAGGAGTCAGTGGTGGAAAAAGTATTCAGATTCTTAAGCAAACGTACGAATACCACACTGTACAAATACTACATTTCCAGTAAAAGTACTACATCAAGAATGGTACTCAAGCAAAAGTATTTAAGTTCGATTAGAAAAATGTACTTAGGGGTAGAAGTACTTATTGCAAAGTCTTGCTATCTTCACATTTAAGAAGCTTGAACTGCGAAATGTTTGTAAGTATAATGTTGGATGGTTTTATCTGTTCCAAATAATCATATTTTTAAAGTTTTTCCAATGTTTTTTTATGTCAAAATTAGATTTCTTTAAAGCAGCTAGTGAATAAGTCTGTCAAATGAATGTGTGGAGTAAAAAGTACAAAATTGGCGTGTAAAGAAAGTGTTAGAGTAGAAGTATAAAGTAGTCTAAAATGAAAGTTAAGTACAAGTACCTCACTCATTTACTCTCCAAATTACTCTCTTGGTTATAAAGAGTCATACAGCTGGATTGTGTTCTGCTGCGTTTACTTTTGATTATCAGTATTTAAAATGAACGCAGCAAAGCAACAACCATAAGCTTATATGTTTATAAAGATTGATTGTGTACTGTAGGTAGATTTGTCCCCTGATCAATGCAACTGGAAAGACTTTCAACAATGCATCATATGACGGGAATTTTGACGGGCACAGAGGATGAAGTTCAGTGTGTTTTTCCAAAGATCATGAAAGATAAGTAACTATATGACAGCATATATTTTTTTTAAAAGATGTAATGGAAAGGAATAAGTCACTGTCTCCCCCCCCCCCCCCCCAGGTGTGTGTGTCTTGTTTTCTGACCCCGCTGACCCGAGCTGTCACTGACGCGTCTGTTTCTCAAGCAGCAGCACCGCATAATTCCTGCTGCTATCAGTACCAGCGCTGTTTTTACCTCACCCCCTCATTCCTCACCACGCTACACACACACACACACACACACACACACACACACACACACACACACACACACACACACACACACACACACACACACACACACTCACACACTCAGTGCCTCCCTCTCAATTCAACGTACATCACAATACATGTAATAACTCACTCTTATCAGAATAAGCAAACAATGTTTCCTTAAGCCCTTTTAGCTGCACTACATCAAATGTTACCTACCTAACACTTTTTAAAACATGAGGCAAACGTTTCCAGGCATTTCTTAGGAGTTGGGTAAACTTCTGCTTATTTTACGTTAGTTAAACTTACTAATGTGCTTTGGCTGTATGTAAAAAAGAAGTAGAGCCTACAAGACTTGAGTTATTTTGGGGGGGAAAATAAGGTTTTCAATGTTGTAGTTTTACTTATGTGTAACCTGTTCAAGCGTACATGAAAGAAAAGTAACATATACTTTTGATGAATGTTGTTGTGTGGACAGCACCATGAAAACCTTTCCGTAAGCATAGCATAGTGAGCATAGCATAGCGTCTAGCAGCTAAAGTGTCAGAAATGTTTCTTAGGGGATGTTGGAAACTAAAACAAAGTGTCTAAAACATATCTGCGTATAAATGTGGCTTTGTATGACACCTTATATGAACAACCGTTTGCTTTACAACTTGCCAACGTCAACTTTTAATATAAGAAATTGGTGGGCATTTATGACGTTAGTAGCAACAGTAGAATGAACGTAAAGGGGATAAAGAGACACGGAATTACATGCAACAGTTTGTGTTAAAAGAAAATCTATAAATAGCATTTAAATGAATAAAAACAAATATATATAAATATCACGCAGCTCATTGTATCCTGGCTTTGACCTCAGTCTGCTCACTCCCTCCTGCTGTGTGACTGTTTCTGAAACACAACGTACATGTTGCGGATCAGATATAAATATCGTAAAGTATAAATTGTCCTTTTGTCTTGTCTCATGGCGTGCCCTGTGACTGAGGGTCAGACAGCAGAGTGTGAGAATCGACCTGCTGTCCTTTCCCTGTTGTCTCGCTTGGCTCACTTCAGTGACAGGAAACACTTGTGTTGACTCGTCTGACTTCTGTTACACAAAGTGGACTCAAGTTGGTTTTCTGCCAGCTGTTTTCACCTCGGTTTAAGGACACTATCGTCAGTGTCATCGGGGAAGTTTATCGTTAGTATATGACCTAAAAACTACCAACAATAAGTCATAAAATACAAGACTTTTAAAGCATTTCATGAAATCTTAAATTAGCCTCCACAGAAAACAGAAATGTAGCAGAAAGAACATCCCGTGTGTCCCTCCTCAGTGACCCGGCCTTTGAAGATGCTCTTTAGTGGATCTGTGGAGCGCGACGGTGTTTAGCCGCTTTCACTGAGACTAAGTGGAGGTCCAGAGGAGGTCAAAGGAGGTCAGAGGGGGGTCTCCGTCTCCCTGAACCCTCCCTACGGGGGGTCGCTTGTTCAGTGTGAGAACCACCATCCGTACGCATTGACCGAGTGGATAAAAGGGTGGACACTGGATGAATCTCCTTCTCCTTCCTGACCGCCATATTGCTAATAAATGCCCAGAGGAACAAGACCCCACACAGACTGGAGAGAGGAGGACAGAGGGGACGCTTTTATTGCCTGAGCAAATGCTATCAGTGGTGGAAGTTGACAAAGTCTCGGCTCACAGACATTGTTTTGGTTCATCTCAGGGTGAGGGCAGTTAAGTCCACGTACTTAAGGATACTGTACAATCACACATAGCGCCAGAGAGGGCAAAAGTACACACATCCTTACTCAAGTAGAAGTACAGATACTCGTGTTTAAAAATACTCTGGTGAAAGTAGAAGTACTGACTAAACTTCTTTACTCAAGTAAAAGTAAAGAGGGCTTTGAAATGTACTTCAGTAAAAAGTACCCATAACTAGCAGCTGTTTTAAAGAGTACCTGACCTCCCTTTATATTAATAGAACAATAATGTCATTGTTAGCTAATGAATGTTTCCATGCTGAACAACGGCAAATATATTTTTGGCTATGCAACTAACTCCACGGTCGTGTGTGTGTGTGTGTGTGTGTGTGGTGTGTGTGTTCGTGTGTGTGTGTGTGTGTGTGTGTGTGTGTGTGT